CCAATGAAGGATAATTTTCCTGTATATTATCATAATTAAATCATAGAACACGACTTTATAATCGAAAATATCCTAAAACTTGGTTTTTATTTATTTACCTCCTAGTTTATAAATTAATTCATACATTTTATTTTTATTTCTATTTTTTATTTTTGTTGTTCTTTCATTTATTATTTATTTGAATAGAATATTATTATTTATTTGAAAATGTACATAGGTGTTATAAATAATATTTTGATGGAAAATTGGTTGAAAATCAAAATAAAAAATATCTAGATATTTATTTCTTCCTTAGTCATTAAGCTAGGACCCAAACTTATTTCTTATAAATTGAGAGCCTTGTCTCAATTCCATACACACACATATATCAGCAGCCAAGGAGAGGGTGAGAGAAGGAGAGTGTGATTAGAGGGAGGTAGAGAAGAAGAAAAAAAAAAGAAAAGGAAGAAAAGGAAGAAAATGGTGCCTTCTTGAGTCAAGGTAAGAACACATCCCTTCCATGTCTTCTTCAATTCTTTCACCCATCTCATCATATTGTCTAGATGCCCCCTTGTGTTGCATATTAATGGTATAAAGGGTTTTTGATATCTATGAAAGTGTGGGTTTGATTTAGTGACTTTGCCTTACAAATTTGTCAAATTATGCACTGCTGCAACTTCTCTAATTTAAAAGAAATATCAAACCTATTTATTTCTCAAATCTGAATTTAATGTAGGATATTTTGTGTGTTTATAGCTTTTGATAGTTTTATTAGCCCCTCCTTGTGTGATTTTAGGGCTTGGATATTGTGTTTAAAAATCTGGTCCTGAGTCTCTGAAAAACAGTTCACTTCTTTCAATTTTATAAAATTTCAGAAAAATCATCTCATGTTGGTTCTTCTATCAAAATTTAGAATTCTAAGTCCTTTTTCTAACAGAATTTATTTGGGTGAAAATCATCGGGTAGATTAAGAGGAAAGTTAGTTTTTCCAAAGGGTGACAAATCTGGCTAGGTTTTCGAATATAGCTTGTAAATGAATTTCTAAAGGTGTTGTGCAAATTCTGAGAATTAGAACTGAAACTAGGTAGGTTGATTATTGTTTCTGTGAAATTTCAGCCCCTAATTTGACCTGGAAGTATTTTTACCAAAGCATTCTTGTTAGCCCTACAAAATTGAACAGTGCTGAAAATAGTGTTTTATTGTGTTATTTGTCTCTAAGTATTTCAAAGCGAGCCTAATGTTATTTGCTTGCCTTACCACACTTATGTATGACTATCATGGGTTATATTTCCTCTCTTATGTTTGTTTCATGCTCTTTTATATTACCGAATTACCGAATGTGACTAACTTTCTTAGCAAAAGATCTAATAAATGGGAAATGGAAAGGGGTTGGTAATGGGTGACGTTCACCCTTGTGTTTCAGAATGATGTACGTAATATACATGTCCATGGGATGAATTATGATGAGATTAAAACCAAATGAGTTAAGTCTTGCGCAAGCGGTTTAAGCGAGCCCCTAGGTTGACACGAATGTATTCAGATTCTATGCAGTGGTTTCAGGGTGTAAGCGACCCCTTTGGTATGGTATGTGCAGGGTGTAAGCGAGCCCTAGGCACGATTTAGTATGGTATGTGCAGGGTGTAAGTGAGCTTTAGGCATGATTTGGGTGTAAGCGAGCCCACTTGTTTGGCCGTCCCTTTTGAGGTCCATCAATGTCACTGAACGGTAAATAATCGGGAGGTGGCCATAGGTGGTAAGGTCTGCAAAGCAGCAAAAGGGGGAGTTCTGAATAGTCCGGTGTTCAATCCTTGTGGTTGGGTAGAAGGATCTCTGTGGGAGATTCTAGATATTTAGTCTAACTATTAATTCATAGAACTTTATTGTAATATTGTATGTTATGTTACCCAATTTGTTTTGTATATGGTTGATTGGTTGATAGAAAAAATGAGGGTGTGTGTTTTTACTGGACATTCCAAGCTCATGGCGTGTCATGCTAGTTGATAAAGCAGTTTACAATGCTGAAGGTTATTTCGAAGGTAAATAAGATGAAGTGTTGGAGCTGTGGTTCATATGAAGACTTAGACTAGTAGTTTTTTTTTTTTTCCTTTTGACTTTTGGTTTGACAATGTTTTGGTAATCCTGTAATGGAACATAAATGAACTATATGTGATATTAACTCTAGCTATATATGTATATTAAGATGTTTTGATTATCTATCCTACTTGTGTTGTATTATTGTACGTATTTAACGGCCCGGAAGTTGGGGAGTTACAAACCCCATTTTTGCTCTGTTTGTGCTCTGTTGCAGCATGGTGATCCAATGCATCAGTGGTCAGCAGTGCCTCATCCATGGCCGACAGTGCCTCATTTTTGGTTGGTAGTACATCCTTTTAGCTGGCAGATGGCCGGCAGTAACCATCTATTTTTTGGCAAGCCATTGGTGTAACCCTCAGCAAAGATTTGGTAAGTTGGAGCAGAAAGGTTCTGAAGTATACTCAACCCTGCAAACAAAGCCTTTCGAGAACAAAACGGAGGACTTTTCGGGATGAAAACAGAGTACATGCATCTTTCACTTCCCGAGGCGGAGTAGTGGCAGCATAGTTTAATGCTTTGCATGCTTAGCCAGTGTGCATTTGTTTTAATTAATTAGTTTAGTAGTTAATTAAAGTGTTGTAATAATTAGTGATTAACTTAGTTAGTTATTCATTTAGTTTGTAATAATTAGTCTAATTAGCTTAATTAGATTAGCTTAGCTTAGATTAGCTTAGCTCTTATTCATTCGGACCCACCTTCGCGAGAGCGTAATGTTGTAATAAGTGTGCGTGCGTGTGTATATGTCTTCCAACCCCACATCTTTTTTTCTTTTATTTAATCACTTTCGATGGTTAGATTAGGGACATATTTCAATTAGCATATCGCATGCTTGCATCCATTCATTTGTCTTGCATGCACCGAGGTTCGGCGCATCATTCAAATTGCATTGTTGTTTCAATACTTTATTTGAATACGTGTTTAACCGCATGTTATCAAATTGATCCATATGCCATATTAGTAGCCGAGCCTATTAATTACATTATTGCATACGTTGTATTAGACATTTTGTATAGTTAGGATCATGCATCTTTCTAACTAGTTTCTGTTTTGGCTTAAAGTACTCTGTAAGTTTTTATGCTTTAGTATACTTGCATGAATGTGATTGCCCTATTGCCATGATTAGCATGCTTGCCATGAGGCTATGTGCTTAAATGCCAAACCGCTTGAATACCTGTAGGTGAAGGCTCGTTGTTTGAATTGGAACGATTTAATAAATGTGCGTTTTAAGTCCATTTTGTTATGACAAATCATGTTTTAAGCCCACTATGTTTGGTGGCAAATCTGCATCTTTAAGCCCACTTGAGATAGCAAATTCAAACCATTTTCGTAAACAAACATGAGTTGAGTTGTTCCAAATTAAGCAAACTAGTTTATACTTGCTTGTGCGCATCACATAGTAATGTTAGCTAATAACCGGAACAAGAGCACGTAATGTTTATAAAATATCATATCATGATTAGCAGAGGCCGATCTTATGATCGGGCGAGCAGGGGTGCTCAATTCAGGACTTTCCCCTCTTGTACCCAAGTTCCCAAGCCGAGACAACTTTGGTGACGACGAACACGTTGCCTTCGGCACGAGTTAGGGTTTCCTAAATTTCTCCAAAAATAAAATATTTAGGTGGCGACTTTGTATTTGGCAAAGTAGTCCAATTTTGGCATTATTTGATTTAAAATCGATTTTTCAAAAAGATTTGCCGAATTTGGACTCTTTGGTGTTTATCAGTTTCACATTGCACTTGTGAGACTAGATTCAGAACCTCGGGAGTCCGAATTGTGAGGCCTTCTTTTCAAACCTTTTCGAAAGGCGGGGCGCAGAAAAAGGTGAGTCCACAACAGGGTTGGACGGGATTAGTTCTCAAAACATCAGGATGAACTGAGAGAGCTCATTCGTGACTAAGAAGCTTGGTCGAGCCACGATGCGGAACCATCGATGAAACCGGGCAAGTAGCACGGGCGTGAGGTGACGACGTGGCGTTGCACTAAGTGTAACTCGGTGGGGAGTATTACGCGGTGCCTCGAGTCTGCACGGAGGAGATCTCGCTGTCCGTACGTGCCAACCGTTTGACGGTTTCATTAGGTGGTGTTCAGTTGTATTAGCGCTAACACGTGGAGAATTGTGAAATGAGAGCAGGTTTATGCGTCCCAATAGGAATGAGCGCAAAAGGGCGCGCATAAACTATATAATCGAAGCTGCGTCTCCATACTCGGGTCTGGAACATCCACTGGTGAGAGCTCAACTACCACATTGTCTCATTTCTTTTCTCTCTCTCTAGGAGTGTGCTAACTTGATCGTTGGAGGGGTTTTCCGGCAGCACATCGCCGGGTAGCTCACCTTCCTTGTGTTCTCAGGTCGATCGGAGTAAAGTGCAGCGTGGTCACGAGGAGTACGAATAACGTCGAATATTTGGCTCCCATACAGTACTATTTGTTACCATTTCATACTATTTAAGTAGCTCTCCCATGGCAATTGCTGACACATTAATGCTAAGGTCCTTGAAGAAATGAGTATTGCATTTGTGAGGTATCTAGATCCTTTCACTTGAGAGTTATGTGTTTATCTCTTTATATTCATTTTCAATTGCTAGGCATATCTTGTTCTTCACTCGATGAAGATCACCAGTTGAAACTTGTAAATATTTCTTGAGTTTTCCATGTGCACCTTCAGTCCTTGAAAAAACCCAATTCCCAAAATGAGCAAACTTTTCAATCCATGAATTCACAAACCGTTCATTAAATGGAAGCCATATCTTTTGAATGTAACATAAAACTTCTTTCTTCTCTTTATACAACAGCTCAAAAAACTTCCAAGCTTCCTCATATGTTGCTTCATCTTGAGAGTTTATAACTTGTCTCCAAGTACACAAAAATGTGCTCCAATCTTCTTGAACTTCAAAGTAAGACTTGCAATTCGCCAAAATACTTTTCTCAATGTGACACACATAAAAGATTCTTAGTTGTTGGAAAGACAACTTGTATGGCATTCATTAATGCCAATTCCCTATCAGATACAATGACAGAAGGATGGCCAATGGGACCCAATATCTTACTAAACATTTGTAAAGCCCAAACATAATCTTCTTCTCCCTCTTTATCCAAAATGTTGAAACTTGAAACACCAATTATGTCAAGAAGTGGCATCTTGTATTTGTTAGTCTTATAAGTGCAATCCATCACAAAAACATTCGAGTAATTCCTTGTCAACATGATTGAAGAAGGGTGTGCAAAAAAGAGATGTGTCAAATGTCCATCTTGATTATGTGCAACATTAAAAGTTAAATCACCTTGACGAAGTTCTTCAAACAATGCTTGTATTATAGTTCGCCCTGCCAAGTTATCCTTGTGAAGTTTAGCCTTCATATTGTATATAGTCCTTGATACCGCTTGAAGCTTCGGATTCTTTTGTCTAAGTGAAGAAAGAATTTGGGGCGATGGTATCCCCGATCTAGTCATTTCTTCAATGCTCAAAACTCCTTCTCTGGATAAACGACGACAATAAGGATGTCCGGACATGTCACTAGAAGGCTTATGATTATGTGAGCTATTTTTTACTTCAAGCACCCAAAACCCATCACTTTGTCTCTTACTTTGAATTTCAAAGGGACAATTAATAAGGTGAGTAGCCATTTGCCTTTGTCGATGCTCCATAGGAACATGCGACTTATTTCGGTAACAACCACCTCTATCACAACCAATGGTCACATATCTATCTTTTTTGGAGTTTTTAAAAGATATTGCATACCCTTGCATTGAGAAAAATTCTTGGATGATATCAAGGAGCTCTTTACGAGATCGAAATTTCCAACCAATATTTTCAAGTATCTCATTTTGCCCATTTTCTTCCCTTCCCTGACTTTGTATGTTTATTCCACCTTGTTCAATTTGATCATTTAACCTTTCATTGACACACTCAATTGATTGTTCAATATTCATTGTTCTTCCTTACGAGATCTACATTATACAGAAATACACAACCAATTGTCACATATTCATGTTATAAAATTGATTAAAAATAATTCTATAAATAAATAACTAAAAATCAACTATTTATGATATGTTTGGTTTATTATAATGAAATGAAAAAGATAATGATCATCAATATTCATTCCTACGTTTGGTTAACTAAAAAAAATAGAAAATACATTATACAAATGAAATCATCATTCACAATTGAAAGGGAATAGTCACTTCATAAGGATGCTAAAGAATGATAATTCCATTTCAATTCACCTTCCTTTCATAGAACCAAACACTACCTCAGAGTTAAAAGATAAGCTCAAATTAATGTTTTTTTTTTTAAAAAAAAAATCGTAAATCGTGTAAGCCTAAAAATTATATAGTTCATTTGTATATCTTCATAGAAAATTTTAAAACTCACATAAAATAAATAATAATAAAAAACTAAATCAATTATAAATATTTAAATACAAATAGATAGTGGAGTATATATACGTGAGAGGTGAGAGAGGGACTAATTTTCTTAAGTCAGAAAATGATTGTCACGTCAGATTCGGATGAAAGGAAAAGTGAATGACTGATAGAAATTTTGAGTAGTTGGACAAACAAAAAGTCACACTAAGGGACAGTTTAGGAAAATTGTGTGAAGAATGAGTAGTCAAATTATAGCTGATGTCATATGAAGATAAGAATGTCATTTTAAGCTACTGTATAATAAATGTGCATGACTACATACTTTCCATGCGTGGCATTAGTGCCATCCTAAAAGAAACTCAAAGACGCCACTTTTGTTAAACATACACTATAACTGTAGTGATTTGTGTTTGAATTTCAATTTCAAATTTAAATAGAGATTTGTGTAGAAAGAAGGGAAAAGTGAGATTTGTGAAGAAAGAAGAGAAAAGTGATAAAAATAGGTAATGTTCGGTGGAGTTTTAGAATTATAATTTGATAATAAAATTGTATTTTGAGTTTGTGAGTTTTGAAATTATGATTTGAGTGTGAAAAATTTGTTTGGTTATGAGTTTTGAAAAGAGTTTTAAATTGAGTGATGTGACATATAATATTTGATATAAAAATTTACAACTCATAACCAAATATACAATCCAAAATTCAATTTAAAGAACATTAAAAAATTTCAAATATATATATTTGTAATATAAAAATAACAGGTGAAAAAAAAAATCGAACACTGTTTCGGTCAACTAGCTAGACGACCGGTGGGACGACTGGTTAGCCCAAATTTTCCTTCTTTGGAAAGAGTTTTCAAAAATGAGTGTGTGGAATTAATTTTTAAAAACGCTAAACAAACACCACACTGAAAAGTGAGTGTGAAACTATATTTTGAAAACTCCACCAAACGGAGTATAAAATATTAATTTGAATTGAGTTTTGAAAAAAGTTTTGAATTATGTGTTTGATTATGTGTTTTGAAAAGTAATGATTATGTTTTGAATTGAGTTTTGAGAAATGAGTGTAGAATTATGATTTGAAAGTTCAAAACAAATATCACACTCAAATCAAAGGATAAAATTATAATTTGATAAGTTTACCAAACAGAGCCTAACTTTAATTATTAATGTTGATATTTTTTTTTTATTGATTTGTAAATATTTTTCTGACACTACATTGATGTGTAATATTCCAATGATTATACAAATGTGTAAAAAAGGTTGAACTGAGTGCACGATGGTGCCAAGTAAAATGGGGTAAGGAAAGGATCCCATCAGCCACTCCAAAAAAATAAATGAAATTTATTTTATTATCATTTTTTTTTATAATTTCTTTTGCTTTCTTATTTTGTATACATTAATTATTGTTTTTGCATTCAGTCCATTCGTCTCCCTCTTACACAATTTTTACAATTCCATACAAAATTATTGAGAGTAATATTCACATTACAATTTAAAACTCATAAAATAAAATAAAAATTATCTTTTAATTTCTCAAAACAAATGTGAGAGATATAACTGAAGGATAATAACTATTGCTCATTTTATAATATATGATATGTTTAACAAACACTATTTTATAATAACTATTGTTAATAGTCACAACCCTCTAATTTATGCATTTTCTGAAACAATCACAAATTTATGACAAATATAAAAGGGGTAAATTACAAATATTGCCCATATTTTTGCATCCATACCACCCACAACATCGAAAAGGGAAAGGAATAACAAATTTTGAATAAATGAACTTGGACGAACAATTATTCATTTTACTTCGAAAAGGAAAGAATAATGTCAAATTATACATATAAGGACAACATATATTATATATAATTGTTACATCATATCATATGATTCTTATAAGAGAGAACCACTTCAAGTTTTATTTGGTCATACGACTTGGAATTTGCACTAGATTTGTTCATCTGATGTCTAGATCTAATGAACTCTACCCTCCTCTTTTTTCTTTTTTTCTTTTTTTGAGAAGAGCAATAACATCATTACATCATTTGGAAGGGGTGAATGAAGCTTGAGAGATATAGGTTGGGAAAAGCTTTGCTTGTATCACTCTATTGCTTCTTCCTACTTACAAAATAGGAATATTAGATTTATTTAGAAAGACCATGAGTTATATATGTTGAGAAAAGCTTTACTTGTATCATTGGCCTAGGCCTTGTCTTCTTATAAACCAACATTAAAACATGGAGAGTAATAGTTAGGGGACCAAGAGAGAGAAGAAGGTGACGTAGGTGGAGAAGGATAAGAAGAGGAGGATGAGGAATTGGAGGAGAAGTATTGGTTGTTTGATGGATTCCTAATCATTGAAGGCACCATATCTTCAAGTAACCCTTGTGGGCCCATTCCTTCTTCTATGGACCATGCTTGCATACAATCCACCACAAATGGGCCATGACTTGGGCTTGCAGAAGATAAGTTTGTCTCGGCTTCCTTGTCTCCTTTCATTGTCAGGACCATTTCATGGGCTTGGGCTTGGGCCTCTCCTTTTGAGATTGTACTTTTGAGCTTCTTGAACGGTGGATCGACATGCTGGGATTGGTTGAGTAGGAAATATGGGAATGCGTAGTGGAGGTGAAGCCCTTCATAGGTGATGATGAGGGTGTCCGGGTCCTCAATCGATTGCTCGACTTGCTTCTTGGCACTGCATCCAGGGTTTGTGCATCTGTAGTAGCTCCTGTTTTGCATTCCAAGAAGAAGAAAAAGGTTAGATTCTTATTAGTATGATGGTAACATTTCAACATGGTTCAGGCTTTCTCTTTCACAAATTGGACAAGGCCCATTTTTTAGCTGTCTTATGTAGGCCAGTCAAAAACCCAGTGGACCCATTGACAAATTAATGTCAGAAAATCCTTTTTCCATTACATCAAGTGCTTACCCAATTAATTAATTCTAGGGTTTAAATTAAAATATGTTTTATATATATATATATATTCAGAAAAAATCTTTTTTTTTTTTTTGACATTAGGAAGGTTTTTCTTCTGTGAATGTTTATTGGATCCTCATAGAATTGGTCCCACAGTAGGCCATGGCCAATGTGGGATCCACCCTGCGAAAGAGACAATGCATGGGAGAGAAGTCACACTCTGGTTTTGACATTTGCCATAACATTTAAACTATGGCCTTTTTGAGAATTATTTTTTTTAGTTAAAAAGTTAAAAAGTTACTAAATTAGTTAAAAAGTCAACAACGCATATTAAAAAGTCAAAGGCTCTGTTTGTTTGTATTCCCAAATCAATTTTCTACGTGTGTTTTGGAGCATCATGTTTGGTTACGTTTTCAAATCAATTTTCTACACTCTCTGCAGAGAACTCTGCGCACACAGGCGTGTTTTCTGTCCACCGGATGACCACCCGGTCGACCACCCGGATGACCACCCGGTAGACCACCCGGATGTCCACCCGGATGTCCGGCTGATTTCCAGATTTTTTTTTTTTTTTTTTTTTTTTATGAAAAAATAATTTGAAAAAAAATTTATTCAACAAAAATTACTGAAAAAAATTAATTGGAAAAAAATCAATTTTTAATTTCAGTAAATAAAAATAGTTTGGTTATTACTGTTGATAAAAAATACGGATATCGATATATGAGTTGTGTGTTTGATTATAAATTATTGATTGAATTAAGTTTTGAAAACACATTTCAACACTCTATTTAAAAATCATAACCAAATAAATTTTTTACACTCAAATCATAATTCCACAACACACAAACTCAAAATATAACTCATACTCTCAAATCACATTTACAAAACTCTACCAAACGCTACCTCTTTTCTTTCTACTTTTTGCACATCTTTTCGTAAAAAGTCAAAAAGTCATCCCAAACATACTAGTTTTTTTTAGCTCATATTTTAGCCAAATAGCTAAAAAGTTACTAAATTAGCTTGTTCCCAAACGAGGCCTATATAAAAATATTTCTACATTGTAAATTTTTTATTTTATTTTATTTTTATTTCCGCAAGATATATATCTATTTAATCGGCACAAAAACATGCAAAAGTGAGAAGGAAAATATTGTGGAAAGTTGAAATTATATACCTAGGAAATGGGCTATTCTTGATAAATTTCTGACCATACTTCCTCCATTTATAACCATCATCAGACATACCACTGCCACCACAACTCCTGATTTTCAGAGTATACTTATTCTCAACCTTACTCCAACCCTTCTCTAGTATTGAAATCCTGCAAAAGAAAAAACAAGTTTATTCATGTCCAAACAGACCGAGTTCAAGAAAACCATGTATACTTTTAAGGTTAGAAATAAGTCAAGTCGAGTAGAGTTTTGGAGCATTTAAGTTTAACTTGTTCAAAATTAGTCTAGTTCGATAGTTCAAGTCAAGTTTAAAGGATCAAACTCGTACTTGGCTCAACCAATATTCAATAACCTTGAGTTCAACTTGAGTCAATTCGATTACATAAATGAGTCAAATTCAAGCATGCAAAGAAAATTCAAACTTAAGTTAATATGATAATTAAAGGAGAAACAAAAAAGAAAAAGAAGAAAATTATGAAAGAAATATTAAAAAATCTCATATTATAATAAGTTTTATCAACTAAATACTATGCAGCAAACTAAGAAATCAAATAAATTAATAAAATAATATTATCAAAAATAAATATTAATATGTCATTGTCTTCACAATTTTATTCAAACTTGGGTCTACTCAAGCCTAAAAGTTTAACTCAAACAATTGACCGTCAGATCAAACCTGGCTTGTGACATGTCTGGAAGAAGATTGTGTTTACAGTTTGTCACCGGTAAACCACTATCGATATCATCGATCGTCTGCTCGACAGAGACAAGCTGGTTGATGGCTGATTCATTAGAAGGACTAGAATTGTATTGGCTCATGATCATCATCTCATGTGGTGCAACCAAGAATGGTGATTCATCATCCAAAAGCTCTCTGACAAGGTCATCTTCGGACCCATCTGACCAAGTACTAGTCTTCAGTTCCTCCATGGAAAGTCTTGAGTCAATGAAAGGTCAGCTCAGCCTTAGCATTAGAAGAAGAGAGAGAGAGAGAGAGAGAGTGAGTTTTGGTGTTAAGAAGTGGGGGTATATATGCAAAATGGTTTGGAGAAAATGGTTTATTATGAAATGTGAGAGAAGGTGAGTGAGAGTGGAGCAGATGGAGAGGAAGTCGTGGTGTTTTACAATTTTGCCCTTGAATTCTGTTGCAAGAGTTAAGTTAGCTAATACTAATACTGTGGTGCTATGTGCACCAATTAATATATTAATTAATATACCAATTTATGTTATGATATTATTATTAATCCCACACATTACACAAATTATAAATATTTAAAATTCTTAAAATTATACCACATCATCTGTTAGTACACTAATTGATATATCAATTGATGCACAAATTTCAAAGACAAGGGTATAATGTGTGTGCCTATATTATATGGTCAACATTCATTGGCACCCAAAAAAATATTCACAAATAATTCAGATAATTTAAAATTAAGTTGCACAATATTTTGGTAAAATAAATTGTAAATCAGTTCACATAATTGTTTAAATGTCATAAATTTTACTCTTACTCATGTGCATAATTTATTGACTGATCAAAAACTTATTTATAACTGACTACACTAATTAAATCTATTTTATAAAGTACATAAAAAATAAAATGTATGAATTAAATTTATTCTGAGTGTAACTTAGGCCCCGTTTGGGGACTTACTTTTTTAGTTAATTAGCCAAAAAGTTACTAAATTAGCTAAAAAGCCAACAACTCATACCAAAAAGTCAAAGATTCTATTTTCTCTCTACTTTTTGCACATATTTTCGTAATTAGCCAAAAAGTCATCCCAAACATAGAAGTTTTTTTTACCTACCTTTTTAGCCAAATAGCCAAAAAATTACTAAATTAGCATGTTCCCAAACGAGGCCTTATATCGTATTAACCTACAAAAAAAATTGTTCAAAATTTAAATTGTGTTGGCCAGATTCATTATAGGTGTGAATTACAACACCTACACCATACGCTCATTTTCTGGATAAATTTTAAGACAAAATTTCTGGGTTATTAGCTCTCTTTTGTGTTCATTTGTAGGATATTTTGTAGACTCTTACTCATGTGCATAATTTATTGACTGATCAAAAACTTATTTATAACTGACTACACTAATTAAATCTATTTTATAAAGTACATAAAAAATAAAATGTATGAATTAAATTTATTCTGAGTGTAACTATATCGTATTAACCTACAAAAAAAATTGTTCAAAATTTAAATTGTGTTGGCCAGATTCATTATAGGTGTGAATTACAACACCTACACCATACGCTCATTTTCTGGATAAATTTTAAGACAAAATTTCTGGGTTATTAGCTCTCTTTTGTGTTCATTTGTAGGATATTTTGTAGAATAGTTTTCGTTTGGGGGGGGACCTTAGTTTTACCGCTATATGATATATGTATACACTACTTTTGACTTTCTAAGAATTCCAAGTTAGTCAACGGTTACATTCCCGGTAAGTTTTACAGTGGTGCAGTTTTTTGGTAAATGACAGCAGTAGCATCCTAGAACCCAAACCACCCAAATTTGGATAAATATGTGATGTTTTTGACTCACTTCTGTTGAGAACTTGAGAGTTGAACATCCATCTTGATGGTCACAAGCAACAGTTGAGATGAATTTTGATCATGAATATTTGGTAAGATCACACACCATTACGATACAAAAAGCCTACTACCCCAGAAACAATAATCCAGAAAATAAACCAAAAAAAAAAAAAAAAGGACGTGCGATTTAGATCTAATTATTGTATAACAAAATGTATATACAAAATGAATTTCAACCATCCATTGCTCTTTTTTGAATATTTTTTAGAGTAAGTTTTTGAGTCCTAACATTGTTATTTATGATATGAGATTGACCTACCATAGATGGATGATGATCTGTCACATGTTATTTTGTAGTACCAATGTCTTATTTGGTTGTATTCTCTGTTTTCATTGAATCTTGTGATATATATTGTTTTTGGATGGGGATAGTTGCATTAAGGTGGACCATGGTTTACCTGAACCATGGCCTCTTGTCAATTTAATAAAAGCAAGAGTCAACCACTAAAGAAGGAATTAAAAAGATACCCTTCCATGTTTTTTTTTTATGAATTCTTCTTGGATGTTTTATTTTTATTTATTTATTTAATTTTTTTGGAGAAAATTCTCCAAGCTAGGCAGTTGAGCATAAGTTATAGACAAACATTGTTGATACCCTGGTGGATTATGATGCATTAGAAAAAAAATTAAAAAAAGAAAAAAGAAAAAGAAAGAATAAACCTTGTAGAATATAAAGCTATATTAAAAAGTTCAATGAGATGACCAATTTTAGAAAATTGTAAGATAGGATATACCTCATGTAAATTTAGCTCAATGAAAAACTTTGCACTTATTTCCATAAAATTATATGTAGATCTGAAATTTGAGGGAAAAAATTGTGAAGAAAAAAGAAGAAGAAGAAGAAGAAGAAGGCGATAATAAGTGATGGACACAACCTTTACGCAAATTTTATAATATATTTTTTTTTCAGAATTAAACTAGAAAATGGAACAAATCCAATTTTCACTTCATATTCAGATTGAAGATGGCGTGGCAAAAACTATATATTCTCAATTAATAGTTTTTCTTTCATAAAATAGGCAAAATTTATCTCACAAAATTCAAATTGGAACATTGAAGGTTGAAAAAAAGTAAAAACTCAAAAGTCAAAAGTCAAAACACAGCATGACATCCCATTAAATCTTCTGGTGTAGTTTTCATCTGCTTACTGTATTACATGATTGATAATTTTATAACCACCAAATCCACTTCAAAAATCTTACACATACAAAATAATGTATCAAAAAAAAAGTATTTCAAAAATTATTTATTCAAAATTTTACCCAAATGTGTATAATATAAATTTATAATTAGTATATGTAGAACAATCTTTACTGTATTTAAATTAATTAAGTTCTGTTGTATACTAAACAACAAGCAGAATATAAAGAAATAAAAGAAATGAGAGAATTTGTTTGATTACAAAAATCAAACTCGAAATAAAAATAAAAATAAATAAATAAAAACAGATTTTATTTTGTTACAAAAACAAAATTAAAATCTAATTTAAATAAATAATAAAACACTGAAAATAAATTAAATAACTTACTTGATTTAATTTCTTCGAATTATAATCTGATAAAGTCCAGTGTTTGACACTGTATCCTTAAGACAGATTCGTCCTCTCCACGGTGCTTTCAGAAATTGGACGTCTATCTCCCAGGATAAAATGATCTACTACAAACAATAGCAGCACTACAAATTGTTTGCCTTACGAACATACTAAGTGTTTACACTCTTTTTTTCAGAAATTAAATGCAGCAAAATGCAGAGATTTATAGCAGAGGATGGAGTACGAAATTTTTTGTAAAATCCAAATGGGAGGCTAGTCTATTTATAGATGTAAAGGTGGCTGCTGGTTTTGAATTGAACAGGTATGAAACCTATTGGTTTTGAATTCAAACAGATTTGAATCTGTTGGGTTCATGATTTAAACAGATACAAAATCGGGAAGAGCCCTGTTTGGATGTATTTGGATGTACGTTAAAAACCAGACTAGTTTATTTCGGGAAGGCCCTGTTTGGATGTACAGTAAAAACAAACTAGTTTATTTCCGGTTTAATTTGAATTCTGGATTTTATTTTATACAAAATAAAATAAAATTCAAATATTTTTGGCCCAAAAAAGATTAGTATTGGGCCGAAAAGGCCCAACCCAACCTCACACCATGCACCCGCGCTCAAGCCTAGGCCCAGCCCAGTCCGCCCGACCGGACAGACGGCGGCAGCGGCGCGTGTGTGGTGATTTTTAGGTCCAATGGGTCTAGCCCATTTTGCCCATAACCTCTCCCTCTAAAACACTTGGGTACACCTTGGGGCACACCCCAAGTACCAAACCCAAGTCTTATAAACCCATTCAAAACCTCCCACAAAATCAATGTGGGACAAGCCATTTTACAACCTTAAGGAATTTCCACCAAAACTCCATTTCTATGGAGCACATTTTGGCTTCAATTTGCCATTCACTCGGTAATGGTTTTGAGCAACCAAATATACCACGTGAATCACAGCGCGGCATAGAACGCGTTACCACTTTGACCCACGTAAATCGACGCACAGGGCCCACCTAAAAAATAGACCAAACTTAGGAAAAAATTCTTGTTTTACCTAGAATTTTATAACCATTTCCAACAATCCCCCACATGAATGGAATTTGATGACAACGGAAATGCAGCAATATGCAGACTATCGAAAGAGTATAAGTTGGAGCAACCAAATATACCACGTGAATCACAACGCGGCATAGAACGCGTTACCACTTTGACCCGAGTTAATCGACACTCGGGGCCCACCTAAAAAATAGACCGAACTTAGGAAAAAATTTTGGTTTTATCCAGAATTTTATAACCATTTCCAACAATCCCCCATATGAATGGAATTTGATGACAACGGAAATGCAGCAATATGCAGACTATTGAAAGAGTATAAGTTGAAAATATCTTGCATTAGGATAGGTAGCTTTCGGCCTTGAACCTTCCCTAGTGATAACCTATCGGACTTACTAGCTAACCAATGGACGCGATGCCTTGAATTGTTCAGCCGTTTGTGTAAGCCAAGACAATAGATTTCACACAAAATATCTTCTAACACATCATGGTTCTCATTGTTGTGTTTATTTTGGCTGTGAACGCGCCTGGTTTTCATAAATGTTTCTAGAAAATTTAGCCTCTTCATTCTCATAGAACCGGCCCCAGTTCAACACTCATATAGGTGATTCGTATTGTGAGTATCTCCTTATACTCATCTTGATTTATGCCTCAATCAAGATATAAGTAATCATTAAAAGCAAAGCTTATCCTTATATCCCTACATACAACATATGTTGCAGATATCACTCTCACCATAGGAATGGGTAGGGAAATTTTAATCCCTTGGTGATTTCTGACGAGCTATACATAGCTTAGTTGTCCCTTTGAACTTAGTTCTTGGGATC